TGCCCCCACCCCCCGAGAAGGTGAACTGAACATGTAACAAGATGAGGGCTTCCTTGAGAAGAAGCTTGGTCCTGATGGCGCATGAGTGGGATTATCTGGGATAGGCATGATACAGTTGTGGAAGCTTCCATATAGAGGGAAGGGACTGTGTAAATCACAAGCCACTTGGGGGAACTGAAGATGGCTTGGTGTAGCTGGAGCATTGAGTGTGTTTTGGTGATTGGCAAGGGATGACTTTGGGAGGGATATAGGAGGTCAGATTTTGATTTGAAGGTTCTTTCAGTTTCATTCTGACATCAATGAGGAGCCAAAAAGTTGGGGTTTTTTTTTTAAGATTTTATTTATTTATTTATTTGACAGAGAGTGAGATAGCACAAGCAGGGGGAGCGGCAGGCAGAGGGAGAGGGAGAAGCAGGCTTCCCGCTGAGCAGGGAGCCCGATGCGGGGCTCGATCCCAGGACCCGGGATCCTGACCTGAGCCGAAGGCAGACACTTAACCAACTGAGCCACCCAGGCACCCCCAAAAAGGGTTTTAAGAAGTAGAATGCCATGACTGGCTTTGTTTTTCAACAAGACGATTACGATGGGTGAGGAGGCTGGGGCAGGGAGATTGGTTAGGAGACTGTCTCTGTGATCCCAGGGAGGAAGCCTGAGGGTGCCAGCCAGGGCAGTGATGCTGGCACCAGAGTGGGAAGGAGCGAGTTCTGCACAGGAGAACTGACTGGCTTCTTGATCAAACTGATGTAGGATGGGAGAGAATGGAAGCAGGCTATGAAGACATGCAGTCTCTGGCTTGGGCAGCTAGTAGGCTGCAGGTATCCTTAACAGAAATAGGGAAAACAGAAGGACGAGCAGATTTTGTGGGGGAAGATGGTGATTTTGGTTTTGGATGTGTTGAGTTTGAGATGCACATAGGAAATCCAACCAGCGCTGTTTAGCAGGCAGACACATGTACCAGGAGCTCACCTGGGAGCTCTGAGTGAAGTGGATCGTGGCTGCGGTTGAGCTTTTTTTAAAGGGGAACATGTTCAGTGAGGATTGAAGGGGCCACGGATGTTGGGGAACACTGACATTTAAAGAAGGGACCGGCAAAGAGCAGCTCAGCAAGGACACCAAGAACCAGTGGACCGACAAGTAGGAGGAGCGCCGAGAGAGTGAACACAGGGCAGGGCAAGAGATATGTGGCTGAGGCTGACTGAGTGTTCACCAAACTCATCCCTCCATTCCTGGATGCATAAGCAGGCTCCGTTTCCCAGCCTCCCTGAACTTGCAGAGCGCCACTGAGTGAGGCTGCCCACTGAATGTTGGAAGAGGTAACGTGCAATTAAGGGCAGGTCCGTCTTCCTCAGGCTCTTTGCCTTCCCTTCCATGATCCCTTTGGAGGTTGCATGTAAAAGAACCTCTGGAAGGAAAGCGCTCAGATTTTGAGTTTTTTTTTTAATTTTATTTTATTATGTTACGTTAATCACCATACATTACATCATTAGTTTTTTTTATGTAGTTTTCCATGATTCGTTGTTTGCGTATAACACCCAGTGCTCCATTCAATATGACCTTGAGTTTTATTTGTTACTATAGCAGAGCCTAGCCTATCTTTGTTGATCCTGGCTCTGAAGTCAGATGGCTGTGTTTGAATTCTGTCTTTACCTCTTGCCAGCTGTGTAACTTTGAATAAACTGCTTAATTTCTCTGTACCTCCGTTTCCTTATTGGAATAACACTACAATAATAATAATAATAGAATAAGTAATAATAAAATATATTTTAAATAAAATGTTTTAATAAAATATAACAATACTATTGTAATAATATCTATCTCCTATAACTGAGGGTAAAATAAGGTAACGAATGTGAAGTATTTAGAACAAAATAAATAATTTAGAAATGTTAGAGTCTAAGAGGGAGGAGAATGTCAAGACTGGGAGGATGGTTTCCAGCTGGGGTCAGCAAACTCCAGCTTGCAGGGCAAATCCACTGCACTGCCTGCCTGGGTACAACCTTCCGATTTAAAAGGGGTTTTACATTTCTAAATAGTTGAGATAAATCACATGAGAATTATATGGAATTCAAGTTTCAGTATCAATACATAAAGCTTTACTGGGACCCCGCCATACTCCTCTGTTACCGTGTTGTTATGGTTTCCTTTGCTCAACAATCCCAACAGAAGCCATTCGGCTCATAGAGCCTGAGGTATTTACCACACGACCCTTCAGAGTAAAAGTCTGGTGAATAAAATGTAGCAGAGGTCAAGAAAGATAACTAAAAAGTGTTAACTGGAATTGGCACTAGATCACCAGTGACCCAGATACTGCCTTTATTGGGAATGGTAAAAGTAGAAACTAGATTTTGGTGCCCAGCCGATCAAAGTCTGTCTCCTGACTCCACAGCTCGCTAGCTGGGTGATCTTGGGAAGTGTCTTAACTTCCATGAACTTCAATGTCCTCTGCGGTAAATTGGGGATAAACGGAGCTACCTTCTTGCGTTTTTGTAAGGGTTAGCAATAATGCACATAAACCATAAAACACAGTGTCTGGCTTATAACAGGTTCTCAGTAAATGCAAGCTCTTGTTATTTAATCTACTGTCACCAAAATTGCTGTTCCTTTATAGGTAATGCCTTTTGACTTTGAATATTTTATTTTTGTCTTCGGTGTTCTGATGTTTTACATTCTATGCCCAAGTCTCTGCCAGATTGCTCCTCTTTAATGAAGCCATCCTATTTAATACTATAACCTCTTCCCAACCCCAGCATTCCTAACCCTCCTACCTTACTCTACTTTTCCTCTTCCCATAGGACTTACCACTTCTGACATCTAGAGAATTTACTAATTTATCATGTTGATTGTTTAGTATCTGTCTTCTCTACTAGAATGTAAGCTTCTTGCCTCTTTTGTACAATTACGTATTTCAACTACCCACATAGTACCTGGCATACAGTAGGGGCTCAATTGGTATTTGTTAAATGACTAAATGAAAAAAAGAACAAGGGAAGAGTTTTGTTTCTGTTGTTTTTATCCTGCTCAGAACTGGATGTGCTCCTTTAATCTGGGGACTTGTGTTGTTTCTCATCTCTGCAAAATTCTCAACTATTATCTGTTAAAATAATAAAATAAACCAAAGAATAAATAAAAGGGAGCCTCTGCCCCACCCCTCTATTTTCTCCTGGAACTGTTTTTTGAATATGTCGGCCCAATCAATCTATCCTCAGGGACTCCTGAGTTGTTTCTTACATTTGACAACTGTTTAGCTTTCTGGTTTATTCTAAGGCAATTTCCTCAGTTCCGTCATTTAGCCTCTTCAGCTGTGTCTAGTCTACTATTCAAAACTGTTAATGGAATTTTTATTTCAATGACAATATTTTTTGTGTCTAGAATTTCTATTTCTTCCCTCTTCCTTTTTTTCTCTTCCCTCCCACTTTTTTCTGTACTTGTTTCATGGTTTATCTTCCTTTTATCTTCTTGAATATTTTAAGTATTTCTATATTGAAATTTCTTTCAGACTTTCCTGTTCTCTCTAGTACTTGGGGTGTGAAACCTTCCATTTTTTAATCAGCTGGGTATCTGGTAATGGTTCATGTCTTTACGCAGTCTGTAATTTTGGATCATGAACTCCCCTTCAATAGTGGTGTTTGGAATTTTCCCCTGCTAGGGTCTTGGGAGTTGGCAACTGAAAGGGCTCCTAAAATCTATCACTGAATGGCCTGTCATTGGAGGCTGAGTTGGAAGGCAGTATAGTGCAGATGTGAGGAAATGTGCCCTAAGTTCCCTTCCCCACTGTGAAACATTTTTGTTTAACTGTGGGCAAATTACTCTTTGAATCTTTATTTTCTTATCTATAAAATAAAGATAATAATTCCTATTTCCTAGAGATGTTGTAAGGAATTAGTGAGAAAAGAAAATTAAGGAACTTGGCACAATGTTCGGTATCTATTAAATGTTTTATAAATGCTAAAAATATTATAAATACACAGTACCTATTATATCACTTGTCAATATTTTCTCCATGCTTTTTAATATAAAAGAAAGAACCTAATGTTCATGAAAATAGCTTCTTTTTTTCTTAAGATTTTATTTATTTATTTGAGAGACAGTGAGAGTGCATGCACGAGAGAGCACCAGCGGGGTGGAGGGACAGAGGCAGAGGGAGAAGCAGACTCCCCTCACTGAGCGCAGAGCCTTACGTGGGACTCGATCCCAGGACCCTGGGGCCATGACCTGAGCTGAAGATAGACGCTTAACCAACTGAGCCATAGTTTCTGGATAGGAATATGAAATGCATAGCCAACCATTACATCTGGACACTGGTTTGCTCTATCTGCTTTATCAGTGACATACATTAGTTGAAGATGTGGGGAAAAAACCCTCATGTTCTCTCGGCTTTCAGCCACTGAAGAGGAGAACTGATGAGCAGTAGAAGGAAATTTCAGACATTACCCTCTTTTTAAACAAAATGCTTAATTAGAGAGTTGGATCATTTGCCAACTATTTTGGATTATTAAAATACAGCAGGAGGGAGAGTTCTTCTGCTGAGAGGAAAATGACCTAGATAAATGTCTCTGGTTTTATTAAAATAGAAAATAGACTTGACTTCTTGGCTGTGTTGTCATTGGTCATTAGTCCTTTTCAAAGGTTAGAAATAGAAAAGCAGAACCCTGAGCCTGTAGCTAGTACTCAGTAAATACTGTTAGTTCATTGTCAGAAAGGGATCGAGAGACACAGGCAAATTCTTGCACAAGAGAACCTCACATAACCTCATTTCCTTCTCATGTAACTTAAACCACAAACTTTTCCTTAATTAGTTGCTGTTTTGGAACTGTGGGGAAGGGGGGGGCCGAAGGATCGAAGTGAGTGAATAAAAGCTGTAGGCTAGCATGATTTATCATGGAATATGCTATCATCTGTAAACACCTTAAAAATGATCTTTAATTCTAATTTTCGTAAAACATTTACAAAGGCTAAAATTGAAATATTTAAATAGAGAGGTAATTTTAGATTTTAATTACCTGATCTTCATAATCAGAGCCTGTATAAATGGTCTCTCCAGTGTCCAACATCATTGAAGGATCAAGGTCACTCGAACCTAAGATTAGAAAAGAAAAGATTACCTGATAAAGGCTGTCTGTGTATGTTTCTAAAGCAAACTATCTCCCACTAGGTTTCCGTATTGTTCTTGTGGTTACATTAAATTCACAAACATTTTTAGACTCTTCTCCTTTGCTGGGCACCATGTTTGGGCTCCCAGATAGAAAACACAGATACTCTAGACACTGTTTCCAGCCTTAAGAAGAAGACAGTCCTGTGGAGGACTCTGATTTGTCAACAGCAAGGTGCAGAAACCAAATAAAGAGCTACTAATTCTGACTAGAAGTGGAGGTGATGATGGAGGTAAGAACTAAGCACAAGGAATGAATCTATGAGCCCAAACTTTGCGAGTGAGTAAGGATGGTCCAGGAGGGGAAGCGGTTTAGGGGTGTGTAGCAGTAAATGAGATAGAGGGAACACTATGAGCAAAGTGCAGAGTGGGAGAAGAGCCAGGACGTTCCAGAAATAAGTTGGGCAGAGTTTCCTAACTGCGTGAAAACCTGACAAATTTTTCCTCCAGGCTTTGGGTCACTTTAGTCCCTGATGATGAGGAACATCGGGTTGACTTAACGTATTAATAGAGAGCTTCCCCCTGTAGGTACTACAGGTTACATTAATTTGCTTACCCATTAATCCTCAAGGCTCAAACTTAAAGGTAATTTTCATAATGGGGCTCCTGGAGCACAACTGATTTATCATCCTTGTTTAATGACTCTTTCCTCCCGGGAAATACATATCACCTAACCAGCCAGAAAGACAGAATTCGGTGCTGCCCATAAAACGCTGTATGTCCTTGTGAAGAAACAAATCACTCCGCGTTTCACTGTAGACTTGTCTTTGCCAAATAATTCTTGGTCAGAAGACACTAATTAAACTAATTAGTGTAAAGACACGTTAAACTAATGCTTAATGAACAATAAAAACGTCAAGCATCTCATATGCTTTTCAGATACAGACCTCTCCCAGAGAGGCTGCTTTCATCCTTTCTTCCAAAGAGAGTTTCAAGGTATGTCCTCACACAGTCTTTTCTCAACTCTTCTCTTTTTTTTTTTCTTTCTTTCTACTCATGATTACCCCTACTGTTCAACAAATCAACTAAGGACTGGTCCATTGTCATACTGTCGAAGTACTAAGTTAGAACCTTGTTTGTGTGTATCTTTACACTTTTTTTTAAAAGGATGATAAAATTTTTCAGAGTGGAGATACTTGACCCATCAAAGGATTTTGGAAAAGTAACGAAATGTGAAGTTGCCATAGGTGTGTAGAGCACAACTGTGGGTAATGCCATCCTATCGTGAGAGCAGACCTTGCCAAGTCTATTGTTAATAAGGTGGTTGCCAGAAAGGAGTGGGGAAGACAATGCACCACACGCTATTTAACAAAGTGAGACTAGAGGGGTCATTTGGAAACTTAAATTTTATGTATAATTTTACCAAGTAATGCCATTATATGCAATTTTTCTATCTTTGTGCTTTTGCTATTTTTAAAATAAGAAATTCTATAAGGTGTATCTGAGGGGCAAAATATTTGATTGTCTTGAAGCCCATTTTGGGATCAGTTTGCACTTACGTGCTGTGGGGAAGTCAAGATGTCCGAAGTAAATGTGTATTTTTCCATTATAAGATCATGGAAGTTTTAGAACCAGTATTTCACAGAATACCACCCCCTCATTTTAGAAAAGAAGAAAATGAGCTTTGCAGAAGTCAAATAACTTGGGCTAGGTCTTACAGAAAGTGAGTGAGATCAAAGACAGAAGTCATAGCTCCCAACATATCCTGCCTAGTCTGAAGTCGAAGCAGGAGCAATCCAAACAGCTTTATGAATATGATCCTTCATTACAGTACCCTATGGGATGGGACTGTAATGTCGTCTCTTCCACATTCTGAGAAAATGAGTAACAGTGGATGGCAGGTGATGAGATGTGTCACCAGGTGGCTGTGGAAATGGGAGAACCAGAAGCGGGATCAAGAAGTGCCACTCCAGTCTGGGACAATCGATGCTCCTTTCTGGGTGGTTGCTATTGACAACATCATTAAAGGTAATGCCAATTTTCTTTAGCTTTCTTTGTTTCCATAATATGGATATTACCCACCACTGACTTGTAGAAGTGGTGATAGGTACTTGGATTCAAACGATACCCTCATCTCAGCTATATTTGGAGTGATTCATGTGGAATGAGCAATGTGATCTGAACACAAAGGCTTATTAAACATATAGCCACTTTTAGTTCCTGTGCCCTACTTATTTTATTTAATTAGAAACTGTTCTTTCAGTTGTTTTAAAAAAGTACAAATTTTCAAGAGCTCTTAAACAACCTGGTTAACAGATATTACACATTAATGTTTAAACTGGAACCAGACTGTTAGAAAACTATCTCCAGCGATGGTAGATCTTTGTTGAAGGGGGAACAAAAAAACTTCTTTAAAAAAAACTTGTGCTTACAAAGAAGAGTTGGCTTTCCTAATAAAATGCTTTTAACAGAATTTTATTGTATCATTAAGGGATGGAATTTCTTGACACGTTGTTGCTCTTGGCAACAGTACTAATAAATCATAGGAAGCAACAGACAATGGATATCATTATCAGCTCAGATAGTGACTGAATAGCTTTCGTGTTCTTTTAGCACTGGTTGCTTGGTTTGCTGAAAATGGCACCTTTAATAATAGTCTAAGTTTGACATACAGAAGAAGGAGGTAAATATAGATATATGTATACATTTTTGCCTTCTTTCATTGAACAATTTAATGCATAAAACGCCTGCAATGATCTCGTTACTCAAAAGGGACAGCAAAATTAGGGCATTTTGTAAAAGTGATAGTATGGCTTTCACTTGTCCCTATTTTGAATTTCTCAATTTCTTTCAGATTTAAAAATATTCTTTCTATAGATACAGAGCTGAAATAGAATCCCCCAGGGAACACTCAGCGTCACCCGTTTCAGATGTAGAATGGTCTTCAGAAAGATTCTTTTCAGGTTGTCTCCCTAAATTTAAGAGGGAAGATGATACAAATTAGCTTAAGAGGTACTGGAAGGCTAACCATATTGCTTTCTGGGGCAATGTTACAGACTTTTCTCCTCCTTGTGGATCTTTAATCTGAAGTTTTAGGAAGGTCCTCCTCTCACTTGGAGTACCAAATAGAGGGGCACTCCAGCAAGGCAGGGCTTCTTGGGCAGTGAAGGGCATCAGTAGATAAAGCTCCTCTCACATATCATTTGCATCCTCTGAGGAAGGCAGGCTCTCCCTTGTGCTGTCTCTTCTGCTCAACTGTAAACAGCTTTAGGTGGTGTTGTATTTCATCTCTAAATTTAAGAACAATACTTAGAAATTCTATGCATTTGATACATACATGCTGAATGACTGAAAAACGAATAAAAGGACATATACATTTTGCTTTTGCAAATCTTGATCTTCTCCATTCACTTCACAAACATGAAATTCCTCCTGAGTGCCTCAGGCATCAGGCACGGAGAGCCCAGCTCTTATTCCAACAGACATGGAAAGTGTTAGTAACAGTTTGCATTAGAATTCCTTTGAAGAGCATTGCATTTCTTTGGAAAAATACCCGGATGGTATTTGGGACTAGAAGATGAGCTTCTCAAGGAATCTGGTGTTGGAACTGTTCGGGGTGAGCCGGGCAGGAGTGATTTTCCAGTTACTCCATGACAGGGGAGGGAGTAGTAGTAGTAGTCTGGGATGGAGGCTGAGAACACCTCCTGAGGAAAATCACATTTAAACTGAGATGCAAAATAGGATCCGGCTGGGTGAAGGAGGATCTAGGGGGTGAGAGAGTAAAGAGGATGCACATAGGAGGGGGGGAGGGGCAGAGATACCAAGTAACTTGTGCAAATGGCCAGAGGCAGGGAGGTGCTTGAGACATCCAAGGAGCTGGAGGAAGCCAGTGGGGTGTCGGGGGTGGGGGGAGGAGATGCTGGGGCAGGAGGAGGACCACTGCAGCAAAGCTAAGGGTATTTCTGTCATGCTAAGGACTTTGGTGCTCAGCCTGCAGGGAAGTCATTGAAGGTTTTGCTTTGTTTCGTTTTATCCAGGAGGAAGGGTGGTCAGAGCTGCATTGGATGAGGAGCTCTATGGCAGCAACATGATTCAGAACAGATGGGAGAGGCTAGGGATGAAGTAAGAGACCAGGGATGAGGTAAAAGGCCCGGAAAGAATGACAAAGGCCTGACGAGTGCAGCGAGGATAAAGAACAGGGACTGCACTCCCAAGGTGTCCTTGAGGAATGACGACTGGCGTGGGCCCTGAGGATAGGGACATTTTTGCCTGGCTCCCTTAATAGAGAAAAACTACCTGATCTCACTGAGAAGGTGGAATCTATAAACAAATACAGGAAGCAGAGAGCGGGGCAATGGTTACCATGGCACAGGCAGGTGGGCGATATGGGAGATGTTGGCCAAAGGGTACAAAGTTGCAGTTACGCAGGATGAGTAAATCTAGGGATGTAATGTACAGCCTGATGACTGTAGTTAATAACACTGTATTAAGTGCTAGAAATTTGCCAAGAGAATATATTTCGGGTGCTCTCCTTACACAGAGAAAAATGGTGACTAGGTGAAGGGAAGATAAATTAATTAGCTTAATTGTAGTAGTCCTTCCACTATGTATATGCCTGCTAGATCATCATGATGCACATCTTAAATATATACAATTTTTATTTAAAAAATTTAAAAGAAGAATGGAAAGCCATTCGCATGGAGGTGATATGGGAGCTGTGGGGTAGGCGAGATTCTGCAAAGAGAGGGTCCAGAGAGAAGGGAAGAGTAGAGGGACAAAACCTGGGGGCTGACAATTCACAGAGCAGTGGCCACGGACATGGCTCGTTTAACTGGGTGAGTCAGCAACCTTTACAAGCCTGGAGGTTTCACCCACAGATGCAGGCTTCCGTTTTCTCTTGAAAGAAAGATCCAGCAATGACTGGCCCATTCTTTAATGGCAGCAATAGCATGGGGCTTCGAAGTGGCTGCCTCCTGTAAGGGAGGCATGGTGTGCGTCCGGTTTACTACAGTCCCTCCCTTGCTCACGCCATCAACCGAGGGCTGTTATAGATAGAACAGGCTTATTTTAAGGCTGGAACAGGACTCAGCTTTCAGGGCTCTGAGGCATGGAGGGGAGCTCCTGGGAGCTGAGGCTGTGAGCGTCTAGACTCCTCTGTTCAGAAGTCTGGAGGTAGAGAGAGGAAAGACGAGGCCTGCGGAAGCCTCTGCTACGGGGAGGGGCCATGCACGCTGAGCACACAGCACCTGCCATTAGGCAGTTTACCGACTAGCACAGAAGCTAACTCAGCCACGCCACTGCAGGATGAGGCCACCTTGGAGAAATGCCACTACAGAGCCACAAAGTACAGTGTCAAGTGTTCTAAAGAAGGCCGCTTAGAAGACGTGGAGAAAAAGGAGCCCTTGTGCACTGTTGAATGCAAACTGCTGCAGCCACTGTGGAAAACAGCATGGAGCGTCCTCAAAAAATTAAAAATAGAACTACCATATCATCCACTACTGGGTATTTACTCCAAGAATACAGAACCACTAATTTGAAAAGATATATGCACCCTTATGTTTATTGCTGCATTATGCACAATAGCCAAATTAGGGAAGCAGCCCAGGTGTCCATCGACAGATGAACGGATAAAGATGTGGTATGTGTGTACAATGCAGTATTATTCAACCATAAAAAAAGAATGAAATCTTGCCCTTTGCAGCAACATGGATGGATCTAGAGAGCATAATGCTAAGTGAAATAAGTCAGTTGGAGAAAGACAAATGCCATACGATTTCACTCACATGTGGAATTTAAGAAACAAAACAAATGAACAAAGAAGAAAAAGAGAGACAAACCAAGAAACAGACGCTTAAGCATAGAGAACAAACTGACGGTTACCAGAGGGGAGGTGGGTGGGGGATGGGTGCAAGAGGTGAAGGGGATTAAGAGCACACTTATCATGATGAGCTCCGAGTAATGTACAGAATTACTGAATCTCTCTATTTTGCACTGATACTAATTCACACTGTATGTTAACTATACTGGAATTAAAATAAAAAAAATAAATAAAATAAATAAAAAACAACACAAGGGGCAGCTTAAATCAGCTCCTCCACTCCACTGTCTTAGCAAACTGAGGACACCTAGCAGTTAGATATTTGTTGTTAGAGGTCTAAGTAAATGTTCTAAATAAAAGATTGACTTATGAAGAACAGGTGTCATAGCATTTTCCAGAGCAGCAGCACCCAGGTTTATGTGATCGTACATGCTTCTCAGTATTCCAGCTTTCCCCGCAGTAGGCCCTTTTATTCTAACTATCACTGGAAAGCCAGGCAGGTGAGTTTACACTGTTATCTGTGCTCGGCGGGGCTGCCCAGAGAGACTACATCCTTGCCTTTCTTTTTATTCTGCCTCTCTTAGGGTGCTTCAAATCAAATATGGTTAAACATTGTAAGTGTTGAGGTTTTTTCTTTACAGCTCAGAACTTTTTTGGTCTTTACCCACTGAGGCCATTACTGAGAAGAAAGGTCAGGACTGGGACGAAGGTTTGAGAGTCACCCACATGGAACTGAGAGTTGAGACCACGGAGGGACCATGAGTTGACCAGAGTCAGAGAGTCAAAGAGAGTGAGAAAAGGGTCAAGAACAGAACTGTGAGTACTGCCTACGGAAGGGTGTGTGATAGCCCCGCACTATCACAACGTCAAACTTCTAGGGGTGAGTGCTTAGGAAGGGAAGGCGCAGAGCCAAAATGGGAGCTGTGGGTTGAGATAAGAGTAGCCATCTGACGGAAGGGGAGGCTTTTCCTAAGGGGGCGAGGCAGAGACAAGTATGAGTTAAGGAGTCCTGGAGGAACTGTAACTTTTAATTGTTGCACAACGAATGGGCTAGATTCGTTTTTTTCAATTATAGTCACATAGGTCCTATGTTACGTTGGGACTGCCTGCTAATTTACAAGGACAATGACTGAAGGACAAGCATTACCTGTAAGGGCCAGATGGAGAGCACTTCTTTCCCATTTTGTTTTGTACCTTTATTTTTAAACCAGGAAGTGTAAAGCTCTGAGGACAGCATCATCCTTAAAACCTTACAGCGGATTGTTGTGCTCTGACATGACTATAGAACTCCAGACACTTGGCAGGTGGTCAGGCGGGACTGGGGCCCGAAGGACACAGACACTTACCTGCTGCAGCTTCTTTGTTTGGAAACAACTTGCTGTCAACTGCCAGGCTGATGTCATAGAACACCTCATCCTCGTCTCGGTCAGCGTCCAACTGGGCGAAGTCAGGACAGACGAGTTGGGAACAAGAAAAGACATAAATTAGTTCACTCCCAGATACAATGAGCATGCATCACACAACTGTATCTCTAATGAAGCAGGTCAACAGGAATTAAAGCACTTGAGTCTTTTTTTTTTTAAAGATTTTATTTATTTATTCATGAGAGACAGAGAGATAGAGGCAGAGGGAGAAGCAGGCTCCCAAGGAGCAGGGAGCCCGACGTGGGACTCGATCCCAGGACCCTGGGATCATGACCTGAGCCGAAGGCAGATGCCCAACCATCTGAGCCACCCAGGCACCCAAAGCACTTGAGTCTTAAGCAGACCCTCAGAGAGTTTTTCGGCCTAGACCATGTAACAAACAGAGAAGGATATTGGGGAATAAGTGTACAGTCACTCACTTATGGTTAAGAAAAATGTGTAGAATTTTCTTAATTTGTAAAGTACGCTTTGGAAAAAGTGGGAGTTGAAATTTACCTTGTGCCTTCTGGCTCTTAGGGTTTTTGTTTTTAATTAAAAAGAACCATGAAAATACGTAGTTCTGAACAACAGGGGGGGAAATTTTCCAATGTACTGTTAAAAAAAGAAAGAGCTCCCAAACCAAATTTTAGTTACTATTCTAGATACTATAGATACTATACAAATGGAGGTAGTCGGTAGACACTATAGACTTAGATGTAAAAAAAAATACAGATTTAAGTATTTTACCATTCTTTAAAATTTACAAAAATTTAAATATTAAAAAATGTGGTTATATTTATAAATCCTCCATGTCCCAAGTTGTGCAGTGGTTTTTTTTTTTTTTAAATACGTGCTTGTCTCTTTAGTTTTTAAAAACTAAAGCTTTGCTGAGTTATAATCAACATTTAATAAACTGTATACATTTAAAGTGTACAAACGGTAAGTTTTTTTTTTTTTAAAGATTTTATTTATTTATTTGAGAGGGAGAGAATGAGAGACAGAGAGCACAAGAGGGAAGAGGGTCAGAGGGAGAAGCAGACTTCCTGCTGAGCAGGGAGCCCAATGTGGGACTCGATCCCTGGACTCCAGGATCATGACCTGAGCCGAAGGCAGTCGCTTAACCAACTGAGCCACCCAGGCGCCCCCAAACGGTAAGTTTTGACATCTATGTCTGTATACCTGTGAAACCATCATGAAAATCAAAATAGTGAACATAACTATCACCCTCAAAAGTGTCCTTGTGCCCCTTGGGGATGAATTCCATCCTCCTGCCCCCCTACCTAGTACTCATTGATCCTACATTTCTCTAACTATAGATTATTTTGCATACTCTAGAATTTCATATAAAAGGATTTATACAGCATGCAATCTTTTTTGTCTGGATTCTTTCACTCAGCTCAGTTATTTTGAGATTCATCAATGTTGTAGCCATCATTCATCCATTTTCATTGCTGAGTAGTATTCTACTGTTTGGATACACTGTTAATCTCAGCCTGGATATCTTTCAGTTCAGGCATTATAGTTTTCATCTCTAGACGTTTGATTTGAATCTTTAAAAAAATCTATGTCTCTATTTAAGGTTTTGAATATCTGAAATGCAATTATAACTTTTAACATCCTTTGCAAATTCTAACATCTGGTGTTTCTTTGCACGTTTGGTAGTGTTTATTGGATGCCAGGCATCATCATTTTGACTGTGTTGGGTGTTAGTTATTTTTGTATTCCTATAAATATTCTTGAGCTTTGTTCTGGAATGCAATTTAGTTACTTGGAAACAACGTGATCCTTTCAGATTTTGATTTTAAACCTTGTTGGGCTGACCAAAAAATTGCTAGAACTGATATACAAATTCAGTAAAGTTGCAGGATACAAAATCAACATACAGAAATCTGTTGCATTTCTATACACCAATAATGAAGCAGCAGAAAGAGAAATCAAGGAATCGATCCCATTTATAATTGCATCAAAAGCCATAAGATACCTAGGAATAAACCTAACCAAAGAGGTAAAAGATCTCTACTATGAAAACTGTAATGCACTGATGAAAGACATTAAAGATGACACAAGGAAATGGAAAAACATTCCATGCTCATGGACTGGAAGAACAAATATTGTTAAAATGTCTATATTACCCAAAGCAATCTACACATTTAATGCAATCCCTATCAAAATATCAGCATTTTTCATAGCTAGAACAAGTCTAAAATTTGTATGGAACGACAAAAGATCCCAAATAGCCAAAGCAATCCTGAAAAAGCAAAGCAAACCTGGAAGCATTGCAATTCTGGACTTCAAGTTATATTACAAAGCTGTAGTGATCAAGACAGTGTGGTACTGGCAGAAAAACAGACACATAGATCAATGGAACAGAATAGGAAACCCAGAAATGAACCCACAACTATACGGGCAATTAATCTTCAACAAAGTAAGAAAGAATATCTAATGGAACAAAGACAGTCTCTTCAACAAATGGTGTTGGGACACTGGACAGCGACATGCAGAAGAATGAAACTGGACCACTTTCTTATACCATACACAAAAATAAATTCAAAATGAATGAAAGACCTAAATGTGAGACAGGAAACCATTAAAATCCTAGAGGACAACACAGGCAGTAACCACTTTGACATCAACTGTAGTAACTTCTTACAAGATATGTCTCCTGAGGCAAGGAAAACAAAAGCAAAAATAAACTATCAGGACTTCATCAAAATAAAAAGCTTCTGCACAGTAAGAGAAGCAATCAACAAAACTAAAAGGCAACCTACAGAATGGAAGAAGATATTTGCAATTGACATATCTGATAAAGGATTAGTATCCAAAATATATAAAAAACTTATCAAAATCAATACCCCAAAAAATAATCCAGAAGCAGAAGACATGAACAGACATTTTTCCAAAGACTATCCAAAGCCATCTGGATGGATAACAGACACACTAAAAGATGCTCATCATCACTCATCCTCAGGGAAATAGAAATCAAAACTACAATGAGATATTACCTCAAACCAGTCAGAATGGTTAAAATTAACAACACAGGAAACTTTTAACAGGTATTGGTGAGGATGTAGAGAAAGGGGAACCCTCCTACACTGTTGGTGGGAATGCAAACCGGTACAGCCACTCTGGAGAATAGTATGGAGGTTCCTCAAAAAGTTAAAAATAGAGCTATACCCTATGATCCAGCAATTGCACTACTAGGTATTCACCCGAAGGATACAAAATTACTGATTTGAAGAGGTACATGCACTCCAATGTTTATAGCAGCATTATTAACAATAGCCAAATTATAAAAAGATCCCAAATGTCTACTGACTAAGGAATTGATAAAAAAGATGTAGTATTGGGGTGCCTGGGTGGCTCAGTCGGTTAAGAGTCTGCCTTCGGTTCAGGTCATGATTCCAGGGTCCTGGGATTGAGCCGCCCTGTTTCGGGCTCCCTGCTCAGCGGGGAGTCTGCTTCTCCCTCCCTTTGCTCCTCTCCCTGCTTGTGCTCTCTCTCTCTCTCAAATAAATAAATAAAAACTTTAAAAAAGATGTGAGATATATATACATATCTCTCTCTCTCACACACACACACATATATATAATGGAATATTACTCAGCCATGAAAAAGAATGAAATCTTGCAATTTGCAACAATGTATCTGGAGCTAGAGTGTATTATGCTAAGTGAAAAAAGTCAGTCAGAGAAAGACATATACCATATGATTTCACTCATCCGTGGAATTTAAGAAACAAAATAAATCAACCTAGGGGGAAAAAAAGAAAGGCAAACCAAGAAACAGACTCTTAATTATAGAGAACAAACTGATGGGTACCAGAAGGGGGGGGGGATGCATGAGAGCACTTGTGTTAAGGAAGGCGCTTGTTGGGAAGAGCACCAGGTGATGTATGTGAGTGAGGAATCACTAAATTCTACACCGAACACTAGTGTTGCACTGTATGTTAACTAACTGGAATTTAAATAAAAACTTGAAAAAAAAAAGATCTGTTGGGTTGGACCAGAGCAGTGTTTAGTGTACGACCAATTATTCCCCACTGTGGAGGCAAGACTCTTCAAAGTACTCTACCAAGTACCTTGTGAATTAAGAGCTTTTCCAGTCTGGCTGGTAGAAAAAGGCACTCTTCCAAGCCTGGTGTAGCACCAGTTAATCCTTCTGGGTGGTTTTCTCTCAGCTTCAGGTAGTTCGCTCAGATGCATGCACTGCTTAGCACCCGGCTGGATGAGGGGAACCCTCGCCAGATCTCCGGAGTGCTCTCTCCATGTTGCTCACATCTCTGGTGCTCTGTCCTCTGACCTCTGGTCACCTTGGTCTCTTAGACTCGCAGCTCTGTCTGCCCAACCCATGCGGTCCCGCCATCGCCACAAGGCTTCCTTCTTCCTGCCCAGGACTTGGGAAGTCTCCAGCAGTAAGAACGATCCTCGGGCTCACTACATCTGTTTCCTGTCTCTCAAGGAATCACCTCATTGCTTGATGTAAGGTATCTTGAAAATTGTTTTTTTTTAAATACATTTTTTTCTTTTCCTTTTGTCTGTTTGTTTCATGTGGGAGGGAAATTCCAGTCTCTTTTATTCCATCTTGGTGAGAAGTCTCAATTCTTTAGCTTTTAACCTTAATTATTATCTTGAAGATATTGAAGAAGATTTAAGGGATTTACCCCTTTATATTCTCCTACTGAAGCGTTTCATCAGTCTTAGTGAGGAAAATTTTGGAAGCCTAAATTAGAAAGTTATTTCTTTCCCTCCTCTTAAGGTTAAAGCACATCTGAATGGTGCTTCAAAGTGCTTTCACCATGTCGCATCACCCCATGGGAAAGGTGAGGCAGATAGTTTTCTTTCTATTTTACAGGTGAGGAGATATCTACCTAGAGACTTTCTTAGGTCAAGCAGCTATAAGCAGAGCTAGGACTTGAATTCAGGATGACTGACACTTTCCATCCTACAGATACCATCGCAGTAAGACAGATATAGTCCCTTCTGCTCAAATGAGTGTTAACACAGCCCCTTTTATCTAAAAGCAAGATAAGAAAAG